AATTCTTACGAAAAATTCATAGACAATAACAACAACTTTAACAAGAATTATAATTACGACAAAAATTTCGATAAGAATTATGAGAAAAATTTTGATAAGAATGACGACCAGAATATCAACAAAAATTATGACAAAACTTACGATAAGAATTTCAAAGACCCGCCGGAAGAGACAACTAGTGATTACGTACCCGCAGTTACCGACGGTAAACCCATGGAGTTTAAAGTGATTGGCCGTAAGATTAAGCTCAAGTACTTTGAGATTAAAGGCAAGTATAGGGGAAACGGTGACAATAAATGGCTACAAAAGCTTCAGGAAAAGTTGAATCGCTGGAAACGGAGTCCGCAAAGTGGGAATTCAGGTATTTACTAGATAACAAATTAATTTTATCGTGTTTAATGTGATTGTTAATGATCATGATGTTTTATTATAGGTCAGGATAACTCCATGTTAGGACAGGCGCAGAAAGTATGGGATCAGACTAAGAGTCGTATCAAACTGGCCAGTGATATGGCCACCAATACCATTAAGGGTATGGCCGATCGGGTTAGAAATACGGTTACTGGCAAATAATAGTAGCCCTACGCTAATTTGATTACATAAATATTAATGTATATTTGATTATAAATTAGCCTACTATTCTATATTAAATTTGACAATATTTTATAAATAAAAAAAAACTATAAAAATTATTTTAAAACAATTATTATCGTCGTAAAAATTATGTTATAAATCCTCAATACAATCCTCAATCCTAACCACATGTCTAATTAACTCTGCAATGTTTATAATAAACGTGATAATTACCTAAACATTAAACAGTTAATTTATTTTATTTATTAATAATGTTTGTCAGAAATTAAAAAATTATTAATTGTTAAATTATTATTTTAATAGTGTGTGTGTTTATTCACTTAATTGTTTTAATAATAATTATTATTACTAAACTTGTAAATAATATATTTCATTTATTAAAACCTGACTTGCTACTTTAAGGGAATTTTTAATTTTACCTTTTTTCTCAGAGAATATAAGGTATTTGTGGAAAAATTAGTTGCAAGTGTACTGATGTACTGTATATTACAATTGATTTTAAAATTATATATCTAATTAATTATGCTATAAAAATAATCAATATTTCCCGAATCTCGTTATTATAAATAGATTAATAATTAATGTATAAATTATTATAATAATATTACTTGTTTTTTTGCAACAACATTATGATAATGTAAATTTTATATGGATTTATATCGACAATTGTTAAAATAAATTATATATAACAGCATTTATGTCGATATTGTATGAGAATTGTAATAAACAAGGTCATTAATTTTAAGTGATTTAATACACGTCTTATGCTTTATAAGAAAGCATTTATATTTAATTAAAAAACTACTTTATTCTGCAAATTTTTTATTGCTGTATTTACCAAGCTTCTACATTATTGTATAATTTGTTGATTAATTAAAAAGTTTCTTATGTACTTATTCATATATTAAAATTATATACATGATTAGTTATATTTAAATTAAAAAATACACAACATTCCGTATGCTTTCTAATCCATGCTATATATTTACGGAAGGGGAAAGCGTACGATTCCGGGCCGATGTCAACACTACTAGGAGTGTATATTTTCAGCCCATATCACTCGAGCCCTACATATTCTCTAATAAGTTTGTATTGAAATATAGTAATTCATGCGAAATATTTATCCATTAATTAATGTATTTATAATTAATATAAATAACAATTTATTTATCTCGTAGAAGGAGTAATAAGTACCAGATTTGCGGTCCATTAATAAAATTAATGGTTGAGTTTGCAATACGACAAAAATCATCGTAAGTTATTTAACAATTGACAACAAATTTAGTTGTATAACCAAGCACAAATTAAATACACTGTGCATTAAAAACTAATTTACTAAATTAATTACTACTCATATGTCAATTAATAGGCTAGTGTTGAAACGACCGCCGGTTTCGCGGCAAGATTTTAGGCAACAATTGTCCGCCGGTTTGCCGGACATTATACTCACGCCATGGATCGCATCCGAAATTATCCCATACTTGGATGGTATGCGTAAATATC